CCGGGAGATTCTCTGATCTCCGATCAGCCGGCTGTCCGTAGGCGGAGCATATGCAGCTTTCTCACCGTCTGTTTCTGGTGCAGATAATTCCCCTCGCTGGCCGAATGCTACTTAGCATGCCCGGACCATGCTGAAAGCCGTCCCCCGGGACGAGAAGGAGGCGATTCCTGGAATCAACACCTTCAATGTCGACCGTGTAATGGTCGAGCTGGTTGATGTGAGTTGACGAGTGCCCACCCGGCATATTTTTGTAGTATGCTCATCCTATTTTTTACTAACACCGATTGTATTGTTGCAGGCACTGCTCCGCGTGGAGGGGCTCAAGAAGGCCCACATCCGCAAACAAGAGGAGGTAAAGAGAGCCAAACGTTCTACGGATGACGCACATAACGTTGCCCACTATTCAATGATTGTGCATGACTTAGAAACTAAATCTATAATCATGCGACAGGCGGATCAGGTCAAGACCCTCCAAAAAGCCCTCACTAAGTCCAAGACCAGGGCGGACAACCTCAAGGTGGCCCTGGACAATGCCGAAGATAAGCTCAAGAAGCATGAAGAGCCCCTCAAACGGCTAGATCAGGCGGAGAAGACCAGCAAACGCCTGCAACAAGAGAATGCCCGCCTGATCCAGGAGGCGGCTGCTGCAAAGGTCAACTTCCAGACCAACCTTGAGGCAGAACAGAGCCGGCTCATTGAGGAGAATGAGCAAGACTGCGAGAACAGGATGAAGAGGGCGTTCTCCATTATCCATCCGGGTACAGACTACAACGTCTGGGAGCTCGCCTACAAATACGCAGATCTTGCCATTCTGGCTGAGGAAGAGGGCAAGCCGGGGCCTGAACCCTATGAAGAGTGGGTTGAGGCGGAGTTCAAGCAGATGTAGGAGGAGGCGGCTGGCAACAAGGAGGCAGTCGAGGATGAAGTTGTTCCCGGCTCCGTTCCCACCACCGACCCATCTCATCCGGAAGGGAATCAGGCTCAGGCTGACCGGGTGACTGTGCAGCTAGAATAGCAACGACCTCCCGGCCTGCGTGCCGTGCATTATTTTATAATAGCGCCGGAAGGGTCGGCTTATTCTGCTGTTGTTTTTTATTTTACATATTGATATACATTTTCACCGGCTGTGCCGGTTTTATTTGTAAACATTTCCACCGGCTGAGCCGGCTTTTGAATAACTTTCTTCTACAATTTCTTCTGCACTTTCTTTGCAAAAAATTAAAAATTTTACTTTTTGCAAGTATATTAAATTTTACTTTTTGTAAGTATATTTCCGCATGAACCCCAACCAGACTGGGTGGGGTTAGGGTAATTGCCCCTGGATAGGAGGCTGGCAGAAGTGACATGGTGCCAGGCGGCTATCCATATGCCATAGTACGAATATTAATAATTTAGCTAACGTTAGAATGAATGCCAGCCGGTTTCTACTGACTTGCCGGCTGGTATTTTTGTAAAGGCCTTTTCGTAGGTTTAGGGTGTCCATTTGCCGATTGGGCTTTTGCAAGAGCACCCTTGCATAGGTTATGGCCTAAACCAAATGTTTGAGGCCTGCCTTCTCTTAGTGAATCAAGCGGCGACATTGGGTACCGCTGTCTGTTTTGAGACTAGCCTTTGGTGGTACTTTTCCCAAAGAGTGAGCCGGCTGCATGTTTAGGAATGCTAGCCTGCGTTTCTTTGGTGCAATGGATCGTTCAGGCGGGTAGGGCCGCCTGAAGTTTTGATCACTAGAACAATTTTCCACCCAAATGGGAGATGTTCTCTTCGATGAATTCGCCCGTATGGGTGTCACCGGATGATTCGTTAGTTCTCAGGGCCGCTTGTGTTGAGCACAAGACATGGCGCATGGAAATTTTATAAGAAGAGCTGCTTGTGGTAAGCACAAGACATGGCGTATGTAAGCATAATATGTAGTAAATTTTTCTCATTAATCATGCAAAAGTTTACAAAAGCTATACAATTTCTAGTAGTAGTACTTTTTGAGATTGTCTACATTCCAAGTTCTAGGCAGCTTTCTACCGTCTGGGGTTTCCAGGCGGTATGTGCCGTCTCGTACTTCCTCAAAGATCCGGTAGGGTCCCTCCCAATTTGGGGTTAATTTGCCTTGTTCATTGGCCCTACCGGTTGCTTCCATTTTGCGAAGCACAAAATCTCCTACTTTCAAGGGCCGTTTGTGAACCCGCTTGTTGTAGGCTCTTGTCATTCTCAGACGGTAGATCTCATGACACAAGGCTGCGTTGCCCCTTCGCTCTGGGAGAGCATCCAGTGCAAACCGCATGGCTTCCCAGTTGGCCTCCTCATCATACAGCATGATGCGGAGGGTTGGCTCATAATGCTCAATGGGGAGTACCGCCTCGGTGCCGTATGTCATAAGAAATGGGGTTTCACCGGTTGCCCCTTTTTCGGTTGTCCTGATGGCCCAAAGGACATGAGGTAATTCCTCTGCCTATAGTCCACCAGCTCTTTCCACCTTCTTCTTTATACCGTCTGAGATCAGCTTGTTGAAAGCCTCAACTTGCCCGTTTACCTGAGGCCGGCCAACAGATGCAAAACAATGGGAGATTCCTTGGTCCCCCAACCAGCTCTTGAGGACAGGCGTTTCAAATTGTGTTTCGTTGTCAAAAACCATGGACACTGGAACCCCAAACCGGGTGATGACGTTTCTCCAGATGAAGGAGATCACATCCGCTTGAGGGAAGCGGAGTCTGTTTGGATCGAACTTGAGGCCCTCCCCCTCCTTTGGCTTTGGGTGAGGGGTAGGGACCTGGTATTTGATCGTCTTCTTCCCAGAGGAAGGCTTCTTGGCCGGCTGACTCTTTTTGGGAGTAGCTGACCGAATAAGGTTCTTGATCTCGCCCTTGAAACTATTCATGAAGGTCATGAGTTCGTTCCTGGTGACGGGAGCAGAGCCTTCTGCCGCCTGGGCAGCTCCAACCGGGTTGCCGGCTGGGTTGCCTGGAGCAGCTTGGTTGTTATCCCGCTCCTTCTTATCTCTAGAACGGGTGTGTTTTGTTCTAAAGGACCCGTCTGGGGCCACATAGGTGTTGACTTCATAGTCGTCACCACTTTCATGGTCCGTCTGGACCTCAGGCTCGATCAACGGCCGCTTGTCCTGATCCGGTGGTACCGGGTTAGAAGTCATCTCAGAAGTACTCTCCCCACAGACGGCGCCAAATGTTTCGGGGTTTTTTTATGTGTCCTACGGGAGAGTTACAATTCCGAGAATGCCCTTCACCGCTTGTACCTGCAAAACCTCGAAGTCTTCGGTTGGTTGGAGCTCCGCCTCCGACGATCAAGTCAGTAACGTACAGGAGGAAAAGTGTGCATTAATAGTGAAAATTACTTCTCACGTAATGGGAGAATTCTGCAATTAATATTGCTCAAGATTGGTGTATATATTTATGAATGCCCCATTAATGAGGGTCCTTCCACTATTTATAGTGGGGAGTCTTTGTTCCCCATTTAGGGTTCATTGGACACGTGTCAGCAGGGGATTGGAGCCCTGCTGACCAATGGCTGGGTGCCACGTGTCTGGGGTGTTTTTTACCCCAAACAGCTGCCAACATGCGAGGCATGGCCACAAGCCCAGCAGCAGCTCTCGCGTACTAGCTGGGCAACTGCGCCATGCCGAGCTAGCTGGCAGCACAAGCTAGCTAGCATCGCATGTTAGTTGCTGGCGCGCGCAAGCGTGACAGCATGCTAGCACAACCATCATCACTCTGCCAGCAGCCCGCAAGCACGCGCATCATGCTGGGCCGAGTATGCGGCCAGCCAACATCATTCGGCCAGTAGCCCGTAAGCACGCGCAGCATGATGGGTCAAATGTGCGGCCAACCAGTAGGCCTAGCCAACGGGCCACGCTGCCAGCATGGCAACCTTGGCGCCCAAGGCTGGCTGCAGTCGGTTGGCGCGCGGCTATTGGGCAGCTATGTGAGGGCCGGCTTTTTGTGGGAAGGTTTGGGGATCGAGGAGGCCATGTGGTCCTCCTTTGGTCCTCATCTACTCCCTTAGTCACAATGTGACACTTGTTGATTGTTGATTGTTTTGCCTTTTTATTTGATATTTGAAATAAAATTAAATTGTAAAAAGGCATTTTACCAACTCTCCCACATTAATGGGAGATTGGAATTCTCAAGGAGATTTCCCTATAAATACCCATCATTGGAAATTGGAAAACTTACTTTGAGTTGTGAACTTGAAAGGATCTCCACAAGCGAGAACACTTTCGTTCTAATACTCTAGTTTTCTTGGTCTAGCCCCGGCTAAGCTCCGGGGTAGGGGCCGTTCGGGTCGGTCTTGAGGGTGAGAGTCGTCGGAGGCTATCGCGAGTGCGAAGCTTCGTTAGCTTTCAAGTAAGAGCTCAAGACAAGCGAAGCACGCGTCAAGGGTATATCCGTCTTTCTCTTTCTTGTTAATTGATTATGTTATTAATTATGTTGTTAATTAATATGCATGTTTTAGTTGCTTTAATTTGTGTGCGGGTCATGGGATGGGTTTTAGTTCCGCGTGGTGTCGAACATCACGATACCCAACATTCTCGCTTTCGGAGATCCCTTTGTATTCACCAACTCAAGTGAAGCTCCCAATACCCAATGGCCAATGATGGGTATTTATAGGGAAAGGATCCCAAGAATTCCCATCATCTTTTAATGTGGGATAGTTGGTAAATTGCCAAAATAGAGAATTACTTTAATTCTAAATTAAATTAAAAAGGCAAAACAATCAACAAACAACAAGTGGCACAAAGAGAGCAAGGGGTTAGGTGAGGACCACACCTCCCTTGCTCCCCAAGCTATTCCTCTCAATAGGGCTGAGCAGAACTATCTGAAGATCCGAAAATCCGATGATCCGATCCGCATCCGATCCGAAAATTATGGATATCCGATCCGAATTTCGATTTCGGATCGGATATCCGATCCGGATTTTCAGATATCGGATCGGATATCGGATATCCAAATTTTGGATTTCGGATATCCGATATCCGAACATTTTTCGGATATCGGATGTCGTATATACGAATATCCGACAAATCCGGATCGGATTTCGGATATCCGATCCAAATATCCGAAATTTACTTGTTTTTCCTTTTTTATTTCTCAAATTTTCTAAAAAAAAAATATATGCAAAAAGAAAATTCTCGAACCCTAATTGACCTAATTCCCTAAACACTCCTTTATCTCAAATGCAGTCACGCCTCTCTCTCTCTCTCTCTCCTCTATCTCTCTCTGTCTCTCTCTCCTCTCTTGAGTCTCTTCTCGTTCTCTGGCTTTCTCCTCTCAAACTCTCAAGGCTCTCACTCTCTCAGATCTCACTTCAAAAGTTCAAATCCCTTACATAAATTGAAATTTCTGAATTTCTAGGGTTTTTATTTTTTGAAATTGGTCGTTGAAGGCTTGAAGCTCCATTCAACCTCGTGCTCTCCGCCATTGAAGGTCCTCTGTTTTTAATTTTTGGTGAGTTTTTTGTTTTTCATTTTTAAATCTACAAATATAAATGTCATATTGTTTGAACGGGGTTCGTTTTATTTTTTTTGTTTAATTTTCTGTATATTTTTTGTTGTATGTTGAATTGTTGATGTGGGTTTTGACGTTTTGTTTAACTTTCCTTGTTTATTTTCTGTTTATTTTCTTGCTAAAATTTCTGTTTATTTTTTTGTTGTAGGTTGAACACTTGAACCTCGTGCTCACCGCCATTGGAGATCTTCTGTATTTTACTTTTGGTGAGTTTTTTGTTTTTTGTATTTTACTTGAACACTTGAACATAATGTGGTGTGTTGAACGGGGTTAAATTGGCCATTTAAATTTCAGTTTAAATTTTCTATTTTTGTTAAATTGGCCGTTTAATTTTCTGTTTTGTGTTGCTGAACTTAGTAGAGAAACTAGCCTCTCATTCCCCATGTATAGCTGAACTTAGTTTTTGTGTTGCTCCCCTCTGTGAGGTTTATAAACATACTGATGTCCATCTTGCAAGTTTGAAGCATCAACTTTTATTTGTCTACTGTTTGTCTTTTTTGCTCTCTCTTTCTGCATTCCCTTACATAGATGGCCTACTGTCATTATTTGCTTGTTTATATATGATTATATGCAACTTGGAGTGGAATTGCAGTCATTTTGTTTTATATTTGATAATTTTTTTATTGATACAAATGTTAATGTTGTGTTGTAGATAATGGATGATCATGATGTATTGTGACTGTTTTCTGATTTATCCAAGTGCATGACAGCAATTCTCTTTAAACCTTGTACATGACAGCAATATTAATGAATAATGGCATTGAAGTTATCATATGTTGTATATCAGGCTTCTGCTGTGAATACTTGGAGTTTGAACCTTTTATTTACTAAAGTATAGTATACTAAAGAAGAAAAACAAGTCATGTATTTGGGTTTTCACTTTTCAGTGAAGTTGGTTGATTAAGTTTCTTTACTTCAAATAGCTGATTCGTGTGTATAATTCTTGAAATCTAAAAAGTATTAGATCTAATTGTCTAATTCTTTATTTGAATGTTCCTGTGTTTTCTAGGTACAGTCACAGGAATCAACTGGTGTGCTTCATGCATTACCAAACTGGTGGAGCATGGGATCCTTAATTCCTTATGATGTGAATTCTGTTACATTAATTAGTGAATCAACAATCCAGCTTTGGGATTTACGGACTTTGAACATTTCTTTGTTTTGTAATGTGACAATTAGTATGCAAGTTCTCTAAAATTTCCTTATATTGCAATATGTTATAATTAGTTGGACTTCAGGTTTTTTTAGTCACTTTGTGAGTTTGTTCACAGGTTATTCAAAATTTCAAATCAGTCACTTTGGTTTGTTCAGGTTGTATAATTACTTAAGTTATTCAGGTTATTTAATTTTGGAATTTGTTCAGGTTGTATAATAGCAAAATAACTAAAATATGCATATGAATTTGTCTTTTTAAAAAAGTAATTTTGCCTTTAAGAGCTAAATTTAGTATAAAATGATTGATATTAAATTATTAATAAATAGAATCGGATACTGGATATCTGATATATCCGATCCTAAAATTTCGGATATCGGATATCCGAAGCTTTCGGATCGGATATCGGATATCAGATATCCTAAATTTCGGATACGGATATCCAATTCGAAACCCAATTTCGGATCGGATATCCGATCCGTGCTCACCCCTACCTCTCAAATGGCTAGGTGCAATGGGAAGTTGCCAAGTGGCAGCTAGCCTTGGGCACCAAGGCAGCCATGCAGGCGCCCGGTTCCCTCAGCTGGGCCTTCCCGCAACAGCAAGACACGCACATGCGGCTGCTTGTTGCTGGGCGCTGCTACTGTGTCGCGCACCATGCTTGGTGCTAGCAACAACTAGTGAGGCCCAGCACGCTAGCTTACGGCTGGCCTTGCTAGCATTGTTAGCACGCGAGCTCGGTCAGCAAGCCCATGCCAGCACCCGTATGGGGCTGCTGGGATTGCGGCCTTGCTAGCGGCTATGGCTAGCAGCACTATAAAGCCTAGCCCACGCTTGGCTAGGCCTTCGTGAGGCTACGACTATAATTTTGACTTGTTGTTTGGATAATTTTTCCATCTCGTCAGTTCATAAATTCGACTCGACTTTCGACACTCGGCTTTGACGCTCTAAGCTCGGTATATGACGACTAGTTCGTAAAATCTCTATCGACTAATTTAATCTTTCGGATTAATTCGTCGCTTCGGTTCGGTTACACGATTGGATGTGACCTGAAGTGTTCAGTCAAAATTAAGCTGTAATATTAATTATACATTAATATTACTGATCGGAAGCGGCCTTTAGCTAGGCATTCCGATCACTTGACCTTACTGAATAATTAGCTTTCCTAATTAATTCCAATTTTGGTACATATATGTTTGATTTGTTTTACATCGTACAACTTATCTAGATTAATTGTAAGACTACTTTTTTTATAAAAGTATTTATCATATTTGAATCCTTTCTAATTTATTAGATCCATAATCACTCTCTAATGAACCTAATCTTGTCTAATTTTGGTACCTAATAGATTATAGCTTTTACTATACGACTATACCAACAACTTGCATCAAAGACAAAGTACAATTAAGTTCTTTACAAAATAAACCATGTACAAACAAGTTTACCACTATCAACCTATTGCGAGTGGGAAGTGCATTAGCGATGAACAACAATCCAAACTAAAAAAATAAAAAGCAAGACTACAAAAATTTAATATGATGGGGTTTGAAATTATTCACCGTTATTGAATTATAAAGGGATATAAACCATCAAATAGGGCATACATAACTCGTCTTATTATGTTGTTATCAAAAAGGGCGAAAAATTGATCGTTGTCTTATATTTGATCAGAAAGGGCGACTGAATTAATTTCACCCTCTTTAATAAATAAAACAATAAGGGCGACTTTAATTAATCGCCCTCTTTGATAAACGATAAGGGAAAATTAAAAGAATTTGTCGTCCTTTCTTGCACAAATAAACAAACACTTCTATTGTAGTATTGTACTACGTAAAACAAACCCCAAAACAAAAACTCCAAACCCCTCTCTCTCTCTCTCTCTCTCTCTCTCTCTTTCTCTCTCTCTCCTCACAATGCGATTTTAATTGAAACGAGTTTGGAGCTTTCTCGATCCTCCATTGAAGCGACTTTGAGCTTTCTCGATCCTCCATTGAAGCAAATTTGAGCTTTCTGGATCCTCCAATGAAGCGACTTTAAGCTTTCTCCTCTATTGTAGCGGCTTCTCGGGTAGTACTTCTTAAATATCGACTATCAATTTCACAATCTAGGGTTTATTGCTAGTTAATTGCTAAAATGTTTTTGTTATTGAATTGTTGTTTGGATTCGAAATTTGTTGTATAGCATGCGACTTTTGTCGAGTCAAGCTTTCGATTTTTCTTGTTAATATTTAAGATTCAAAATGTTATGTTTCAATTTTTTTAGAATCGAAATTGTTGTCTATTTATTTGCAATTATGATTAAATTTGGTAGTTTATGAATTGGTTGTGCTCGTGCTCAAAGTTGTAGTCGACTGTGTACAAATTATGATCAGGGATTGCAAAATGTAAACAGCTTAATCGTATGATTTTTACATTGTTTATTTTGTTTAATTTAATTGAAATTTACGAATATTTTTGTTAACTAGGTTAATTGTACAGTTTGGATGGGAATATATCTCTGTGAATTTAGGTTATTTTTTCTATTTGGATGTGATTATATTACTATTATTTCAAGAATTTGTTGCTGCATATATCTGTCTTTATTGTTGGAAAACTGTGAATTGGTTATTGTTTCATTCTATTGCTTAAATTGTATTATTATTATTATTAAGACTCAATTTGTGAATATATACTTTTGTTTCAAATTGTTTGCTGTCTTTTTTTTTTAAATTTGAAGTTGGTTTTATATGTTGAGATTGATTTTATATTTTTCTTATATGGTGATATTCAGTTATTGAGGTTATTGTATATGTCAAATATCTTTCTACTAATGGGTTTTCAACTGGCATGAATTGACTACCTTTATGGGTTCAAGTTGAAAGGAATGGTGTCCTTCGAACAAGTGTATTATTACGATAGAGGGTTTGGAATTAATTAGGAAGCTAATTATTCAGTGAGGTCAAGTAATCGGAATGCCTAGTTGGAGGCCGCTTCCGATCAGTAATATTAATGTATAATTAATATTACAGCTTAATCTTGACTAAACCCTTCGGGTCACACCTAATCGTGTAACCGAACCGAAGCGACGAATTAATCCAAAGGATTAAATGAGTCAATAGAGTTTTTACGAACATAGACGTCGGATTCCGAGCTTAGAGCGTTGAAGCCGAGCGTCGTAAGTCGAGTCGAATTTAGGAATCAACGAGACTGAAAAATCAACCAAACAACAAGTCACAAAATATAGCCCTAGCCTCGGAATGGCCGAGCCATCCGAGGGACTAGGGTTATATGTCTAGCAAAGCTGCTAGCCAAGTGCGTTCTACTTGTTTGGTTTGAGTGCTTGATAATATATCCCCTGCTTCTATATGTTTAAAAAAAAAATTTATCTTTTAGTTTTAGGCTTTTAATTTTCGCTGCTTTAATTACCTTGATGTTATATGAGTAATATCATTTGATTTTATACTGTTAGAATCTTTTTGGTTTGATGTTTTAAAGTCTTTTGTAGTGATTCACATTGAATTTTTAGCAACTATAATATATCTGTACAAAATCTATTCATATAATTCAATTAAGGTGTCTAATAAACTTGTATCCAAGGTCTAAGGCTTATTTGTTGGGGTGGGGGTTTTAGATGACTGAAAAACTGAATATTATTTATGAATTTAGGCCTTTAAATAGGCTACAGCTATGTGAGAAAAAACGTATAAAACAAAGCTAAGAAATTGCATAAAACTTCAAGGAAAAGAGCCCTTGCTAGCAGAACATGCTTATCAGATTTTCCAGCTGTACCACTTGACAAAAATTGACTTAAATCCCTAAAAAATATTTTTATTCAATTTTTCTGATATTTTTCCTTAACACTAGATACCCTATTCTAACTACTGCAACTCAAATCGCCTCAAAATTCAAATCCAATTGGTGCAGTTTATTCTTGCATTCTGACCCACCCTTAGAACTCAAAAACTAACTTTTACATATATCCTTGTATATGAAGCCCCTGAACTTTTACAAAGTGAACCTTATAGGGACCTAAGCAATATAATCTACTTCTAAGCTACCCAATCTTACTAACTTCACTTATTTATCTCATATGCAGCTGCATATTTTGATGGAGTGCATATAGGCGCATAGGCCCTATGTGTTTCACAAGCACATAGGAGGGCATTTTAGGATTTTTATTATTTTTTTCTCTCCCTTAATGGTACAATGGTACATTTAATGTACCATTATGCATGTAGTGGTACTTTTTGCCATCAAATTTTGTACCACCGCTTTTTCTCGTGTTCGCATTATTTACAAAAATGTCATCCTATTTATTTCATTGGCACATAGGCCTTATGTGCCAATACTAATTCATTTTGATGTCTGAACTGCTATTCGTCGTTCGCAAATTACAGGGTGACGCTCACATTTTTAATTGAAATGACATTTTTGCCCTTGTGGGTATTTTTATTTATTTAAGGGTCCACCTTGGGTAACTTTAGTTACCGACAACATAAAAAACATTCCCGAGCCCACACTTGTCTTAAAAAAATCCCGAGCAATAAAAATTCCCGGTTCCACCATTGTACGGTAATCCCGAGGTATTTAAAAATCCCGGGGCAGAAACGGAAAGTGTACGGAGTGGTGTTTTACGATGGACGACGACAACGTTCACACGCCGGAGGGTTCGTCGGAAGAATTTGTAAGTTTTTCGAAATTTTTTTTTTTTGGAAAGAGGACCGCCCAATTTTTCCGGATGTATGGGTGGGGATCCGCCCAAAATTTCCGGATCTCCCACATAACATCCGGAAATTTCAGGCAGATGTAGACATCCGGATGAAATTTCCGGAAGTTATGGGGGAGATCCGGAAATTTTGGGCGGATCCCCTTCCGTACATCCGGAAATATTGGGCGGATGTACCTTTGTATTTTTTTTTTCTTTTTTTCTTTTTTTTTTTACGTAATTGTCTAATTATTATTTTTATTATGAATAAAAGTTAAATTAGTTTGTATTATGTAATATTTGTTAATATTATGTACTTATTATTATTATTATTATTATTATTATTATTATGGTTATTAATATTAGTTTTGTTAATTTTGTAAATTTTTGTTATGATTATGATTATTATTAATATTATTATTACTATTATTATTACTATTGTTGTTATTATTATTATATTAGTTATTATTTGTTAATGTTACGTAGTTATTGTTGTTATTATTATTAGTATTATTATTGTCATTGTTATTATTGTTATCATTAGTATTATTATTGTTATTATTATTATCATTAGTATTATTACTGTTATTGTTATTGTTATTATTATTATTACTATTATTATTATTATTATTATTATTGTTATTATTGTTATTTTTATTTTTATTATGATTATTTTTATTATTATTGTTATTATTATTGTTAAATTTAAAATACTAATCCTTGCGTGTTTTATTTGTTTGTGTTGTAATTTTATAGGATTCGGAGGTTGAAGACGACGGTGACGTTGTGAATTACAGTGCACATTTTGTGACAGACACGGTTTTTCTAACGTTTGACGATGCAGTTAGATGGGCGGATGTTGTTGCAATAAATCTGGGATTTATTTTGGTGAAATCGTCTTTCAACAAACAGAGGGATGGTCGACCAGTTCGATATTTAAGATGTGATCGGGGACGTAGGAGTAAGCCGAGAGATCTTGAGAACGCAATTCAGAAGGACACCAAAACCAAGGGCATTGGTTGTCCTTTCTACATCAAGATATGTTACGAGTTCGTCACCCATACTTGGGTTATCCGAGCGAAATATGATGTAACTGGGACCCACAACCATCCAATGATTGCGTATCCATAGGGTCATCGTAAAATTAGTGGGTTGAGCCCGAATGCGAAGCAGGTTGTGCGTGACATGACGAAGTCTAAGGTTGCACCGCGTAACATCATGGCGGCTATTGCGGAGCAATTTCCTGATGATCATCCAAACACCAGACACATCTACAATTGCCGGAATGACTTCAGAGAGGAGATGTCTGATGGGAGAGGAGTTGTTCAGCAATTTCTACATTTGGCGAGACAGAGTCAGTATGTTTACTGGGTCATGTCCGATGATGAAGGCGTTTTACAGCACGCCTTTATGGCGCATCCAGTCATGGTAGACATCCTACGGACGTACCCCTATGTGATCGGTATGGATTCCACTTACAAGACTAACCGATACGGGATGCCGTTCTTTGAGATAGTTAGCGTGACACCGACAAATCAGAATTTTCTCGTCGGTTACGTGTTCATGCGCAACGAGAGCACGACAAGCTATCAATGGGTTTTGCAGAGGTTGAGAGACGTGATTGGGTATGATAAGGAGCCGTCGGTTTTCTTGACAGACCGTGAGCTTGGGCTATGTGCTGCATTGAGGGAAGTGTTTCCAGGAACCTCGCACTTACTTTGTCGATGACACATTAACAAAGATGTGGAGGCTCGGGTCACTGCTATGTTCAAAAACAAGAAGATCGGTGCGTCTTTCAAAAACGGAAAATGGAAACGTATCATGGACGCTGCAACCGAGGAAGATTATGAGGCCGCTGTAGATATAATGAAAGATAAGTGGGCAAGTTATCCAGCAGTGATACAATATGTAGAGAACACATGGCTTTGTCATAAAACGAAGTTTGTGACATTTTGGACAAACCAAGTTCTACATTATGGCAACACCAGCACTTGCAGAGTTGAGAGCCAACATTCGGCCGTGAAGATGTGGTTTGATTCCTCGACAGGTTTGGTGTTTGCTTATTGTACTTCATGTATGTACTTTATTTTAGGAATTTGAGTTACAAATCATAACGGTTTTTCATTGTAATGTGCAGGTTCTTTGGATACCGTATGGGCTCGAGTTCATAGCCACATTGGTAATCAAATCATCGCAATTCGTAATGGTTTGGAGGCTTCTAGGTCGAAGATAGGTCAAAAGTACCGACAGTTGCCACTGTCACGTATAAACGGGAAGGTGTCTCAGCATTGTTTGAAGGTTCTCGATGAGGAGACAAGGAGGATGAGGGAGCTGAGTTATCAAGTGCACGAACGATGTGGATGTGCAATGCGTGTGACCCACGGTTTGCCCTGTGCTTGCCAGATACATGATTCGCTAGCTGCTGGGACAGGATTGTACATAAGACAAATTCACCCGTTTTGGAGGACCTTGGTCATTCGTTCTGGTGATGATGGGACGGTGCCTGGCAATGACTCGACCGAGAATGCCGCACATTTTCGTTCTCTGATGGAGGAGGTAATCGTTAGTGATCCTGCTGTTCTTCAAAACGTGTCTCGCATCATTGAAGAGGAGCTGCATCCGGATCATTCTGATCTCAGAGAGCCTGTTGTAAACCACCGGGTTCGTGGTCGACCAAGAAACAATGATACAAGACGTGATCGTTCTTATTTTGAACATGTAAACCGCCAACACACTGAACGCGGCGCACGACAAACAGGTACGATTGAGTGTTGTGTTTTTCACATAAATCAGCGTTCACTAAACTATTAACTGAAACCTACATTTGTGTAGGAGATGTAAATGACATTAGCCAAAGCCGTTATCGACACTCGCTTCCAGGGCCGATGTTGCCTTACATCACAGGATGGAAGGATGTCATTGGCGATGGGAACTGTGGGTTTCGTTGTGTGGCCGAGTTCTTCTTCGGTGATCAAGGCCGATGGTATGACGCTCGAGAGACAATAGCGAATGAGGTCCTCGGTTATCGAGCCCTATATGAGAGGATTTATGGGCTTGGAAGACTTGAGATCAATGTGCAGCGTATTCGATGGGACGGTGGGGCGGTTGATTCCCGTCATTGGATGGTTGCAATTCAAGATTTATTTCCTATTGCGACTTGGTTCAACACAGCGGTTATTATTCTTGGTGTAGGCCAAACACCAACCTGCTACTACCCATGCCTCACGATATTGCCGTTGCGGGCAAGAAGGGGGGTCACAGCACCGGAGCAAGAGTTTGTCATCGCTACAGTTGGGGGCTCACATTTTATTTGTATTGAACTTGCACCAGATTCGCCACTTCCCCCGATTGCAGGTTGGTGGACCGAGAACCACGACCCAAGTGTTGACGGTTGAGATCAGCGTTACGCAGCTAGAACGAACATGTGGGATGCCTTAATTAGATAGTGAACATATTGTTGTACTTTCATTTATGTTAAACAGTTGTAGTTATGTAATTTGCAACGAATTGAACTTAAATAAACAAAATGTATACAAAACCACCAAAACAGTTGTTCAATCCTTAAAGTACATTACGAATAAATAGTACATAAACGAAATGGGTACAGGTGAAAAAAAATTAAAAACAGCAAGTTCACAACCCCATCATTGCCCTCCAATCAGCTCGTAGCGCCTCAGCCATTGCTCTTGTATCACGCGATAGGCTCGGATACTCCTCCAGTGTCCTGTTGATGACCTCCATAAACCGACCCATCCACTTCAATTAGAAAAACAACATATTAAATAAATCACAAGTTTTTCTAAAAAAAAAAACAACATATTAAAAACAACATATTAAAAAAACATATTAAATTATACCAAAAAATACAACTACTTACGTAATCCGTGTTAGTTCTCTCTGTCAGTGTGCGACTCTCATGTGATGACACAATTAGAGAAACACGTGGATGAGAAAATCGGTACAACCACTGCATGTAACCAGGACCGACCGTAGGAGCACCACCACCAAGTCTGCTGAGGGCACCTACCACGACACTGAAAGACACACCAGGGACAAACCGAGTCCACATCACAGATGTCATCTCTGGCGGAAAGTCAACCCGATACATCTTCAAGTTCGTCGGTCTCTTAACCTTCTCATGATAATGGCTTGTGGAATGCCCTGGACGTATCCAAGTTGCCGAACCACTCGATCAGGCATGTATGGCTCAATGATGCTACGATACTGGATGCAACCAATGAAAAGAGTAGCAGGCACGCGTCGTGCTGGATCAACTTCGTACGGTAGCCAGTTAACTTCATTGTCAGTTAAATGATCCAACCTAGCCCGAAAAGCGAGAAGGCGCTCCATGCTCTTGTTAGGGCACCCCGATCCAACATCCCAGGCGGACGCACGAGGAATAGCAAGCTCTCTGGTCAAGGTCCCCTGCTGAGGCCGAAAACACGGAAAGTACTCGTAGATCCTCGCCTGTAGAAGCGTAAGACAGCCAGCGATAGAATCAGCATCACTACGTGATGCTGTACCCAAATGCCGGTACATGTATGCTAGCACAGCAGAACCCCAGGAGTACTCACTAATCTGAACATCCTCAAGGATGAGTACGGTTTCCACTCTTGTCCAAAAACAAACAACCGCCGAGTACTAACCACAGGTACGCCCTGTAATGGAAACTGAAGGGCCTCTGCGCCTCCAAGGTCGACTCCACTATCCTCTCAGTCAGGACCCCAATACCCTGCCATACGGTTTTGGTACCGCACTTCTCGTTCAGCTCTTCCTCAGTCATATCCAAGGTAACCGAGCATGCGTCCCGTAAAATGTCCGTGCTAGGAGTAGTGGAAACCATGGAACCGTCGACACGAAGCCCTAGAATATGATACACATCATGCAGCATGATCGTGATCTCCCCAAAAGGCATGTGAAACGTGTTCGTGTCTGGCTGCCATCTCTCAACAAAAGCAGAAATCAAGGGCCAGTCAAATCGCCTGAACATGATCCCGGGTAAGTGAGATAGACCACTGCCATCAATCGGTTCCAGGTGCTCCTGCGGAAGACGAGCGCGCCAGTTACCCAATTCAGTACACAACTGTGTCCTGCTCAAACACCGCAGAACGTTTCGCTCCTGCCCACCCCATATGTAGGCAGACACGTGACCCCCAAAACTTGGAATAACAGTACCATCCTCAGGCCCACCTGGCATCGGCTCTTGCACCACCCATGACTCTGACGAGCTGGTAGAAGCTTGAGCTGGTTCACTACTACTAACATATCTCCCATGGTCACCCCTATACACAGTACGGTAATCCTGAGGGTCGTACTGTGCATCTCCAGCAGATTGACTTCCTCGATCTTCATCCTCATCGTCTGATGAAGGCACTCTAGTAGACGAATACATGGGGGTGCTCCCCTGTGACTGGTGCTCCCCCGACCAAGCACTAGCAGTCCCATACTGCTGCTCATGGTGAAACGGTGCATGTGAAGGTCCTGCACCACCTAACTCCCTCCCAACAGACGCATTCAAACGTCTTGATCTTGCATGACGAGGACCATAACCCTCAATCTGCATTAAATAAATAAGTACATAATCATATTTCAATAATAATTCATATTCAAAAAAATCAAATCAAAACTATAATAAATCAAATCAAATAAACAACAATAACCACATTACTAATAATAACAATAATATTATTCTTACAATACTAATACACTACTAACAATAACAACACACTAATAACACACTACAAATAATTTCAACACAATAACAGACCAAATCAAAACTATAATTAACCACAAAATTGCCAAAATTAAAACGCAACAACGACAACCCAAAAAAAAAACAATTACAATAACAATAGCAACAATTTAAGTCAACAACCATAATACATAACAACAACAGCAGCAAAAACCAATACTAACCAAATAAAATTTACATAACAATAACAATACATAGCAACAACAAACTTATTAAAATAAAATCAAGAATTATTGCTAAACTATAATTATTGCAAAACTAAATCAACAAAAAATACATAACAATAACTATTGCAAAACTAAATCTAGAAAAAAATTATTTTAATGCCACAAATCAAGGACAGAAATATTTTCAAATTAAAAATTTTTTAAAAAAAATAAAACATGCAACAAATCAACAAAATCGAGGACAAAAATAAAAAAAAAAGAAAAACATAAATTAAAAAACAAAGGAAAAACAGAAAAACAAAAAAAAGGGAAAAACAGAAAAACAAAAAAAAAGGGAAAAACAGAAGGAAAAAAAGAGGAAAAACAGAAAAAAAAAAACAAAAGGGGGAAAAACAGAAAAAAAAAAAGAGGAAAAGCAGAAAAAAAAACAAAAGAGGGAAATACAGAAAAAAAAGGAAAAACAGAAAAACAAAAAATAAAATAAAAAAAAAACTGGAAACACCACTTCCGCCCAGAAATTCCGGAAGTCCAGGGGAACTTCCGGAAATTTCAGGCGGAAACCCCACTTTCGCCTGAAATTTCCGGATGTTCCTCAAGACTTCCGGAATTTCTGGGCGGAAGTGCTCTCCTCCAGATTTTTTTTTTAAATTCAAAAATTTAAAAACAAAAAAAAAAATCTCACCGGCTCGCCGCCGCTAACGCCGCCACCACGACCACCAAACGTCAACCTAATTCTTCGTCGGTCTGCCATTGTCGGATTCAACGTTTGATTGCTAGATTTGCTTGAGTTTGAGTAACCTTCAACTATTTTGGTTTTTTTTAAAAAAAAAAATTTCTGATTTTTTTTCTTCAAAATTTCAGATTTTTTGGAAGGTTTTAGAGAGAGAAAGTGTCAAAGAGTGATTTTGTGAGATGGGAAATGTCTCGTAAAGCCCTAACTTAGTTTATCGAGTATTTATATACGGAGGGCAATTTAGGAAATTCAAGTATAAAATGTGAGCGTCACCTAATAAAATGCGAACGACGTTTAACAACACCCTTTTGATGTATGAGGTTTCCTCTAGTCTAAAATTTTGTTCTCTGATTTGGTATAATATATTGAGTTGTAGAAATCAGTGGCGGACCCATAGAACACACTATTTTTTTTTTTTTTTTTTTTTACAACAAAAAAATAAAAAATAAAAAATTACCTCGTGTTATTTGCTTTTTTCCCCTTTAGATCTATTTCACGGTACGTCCTCTCTCTCTCCTCCCAGGACATAGTACTCCTTCCTCTCTCTCTCCTGCATTGAAGAGTACTCGAAATTCTCCATTGAAGGGCTTCTGAGCTTTCTCTCCTCCACTGAAGCAGTCTCAAAGGTTAGATGCTTCTTTTTCTTTAATCATCTAATATTAATTTTGACAATCTAGTTTAAATCGTGTATTTAATTGTCAGTATATACTCAATTTAGGGTTCTTCGAAGTTGGATAATTGAACTATTGGTTATAGATACTCGAAGAAATTTAACGTAATTTTTGGAGTCTAGTTTGATAATTGAGTCAATTTTGGTTGCTACTGTGTTGCAGGGTTTGGTTTGTCAAGCGTACTCGAAATTCTCCATTGAAGCGGCTTCTGACTTTCTGAGCTTTCTCTCCTCCATTGAAGCAGTCTCTAAGGTTAGATGCTTCTTTTTCTTTAATCATCTAATATTAATTTTGACAATCCAGTGTTAATCGTGTATTTAATTGTCAGTATATACTCAATTTAGGGTTCTTCGGAGTTGGATAATTGAACTATTGGTTATAGATACTCGAAGAATTTAACGTAATTTTTGGAGTCTAGTTTGATAATTGAGTCAATTTTGGTTGCTAATGTGTAATGTGTTGGAGGAGGGTGGTTTTGGTGATGGTGCAGGGGGAGGGGGTGGCTGTCGGGGCTGGGCTGGGGAGGGGCTGTCGGGCTGGGTGGGGAATTGTTTAATTAATTTGCATGTTCAGTGAGGAAAATTGAAGCCGTAACTAATTAACATTTAAGCAATTGCAACATGTTTATTGAACCTGAAATTGCTATTATTTTCGGCTTTGTTGAATTTGGATTTCTTTTCAAATTGATGTTCATTAATTCTGTTTTTGATTGTATGATATTTCTGTGATAGTTGGATTAATAGGAATGTTATGTATTTCCTTCGGCCCAAAATTAAAGGAATTGTGTTGAAATAACAAGCTTTTACATCTTTATCACGGTGCAAAGTAGTTTTCTTGTTGGTTATCATGGGAGATCAAATGTTGAATGATTGTTTGATTACTTATCTAGAAGAGATTTGTTTTTAATGTTAGCATGGATATATTGTATCGTTATCACATGAATCGTCAGAGCATTGTATAGATTAGTATTTTTTTTGTAATATGAATTTGATTACTTTATGAATGACTTTTTTATGTTTTTTTTTTTTCATTATACGCTTTGACTTTTTTGATATTATATGCGGTCGATGGACAATGATGGACAACTATAAATCAAATTCTGGATCGCCACTGGTAGCAATCTAGGATAGTTTTGTTTACTTGTTTCACAATAAGATATGCAAACTGTGATATCATACACTTATCTTTAACTTTTTCTTTGATTTTTAAGACTTATTTGCATTAGTTAGCTTACACGTTAATTAATAAAGAGAAATGATAGGAGATTTTTTAACATAATTTTTCAGTAAAGCAACTATTATAAATATTCTCTAGTCACTACCCTTTGTTAGGATGACAATCTTTCTTCAGCCTTACCCCCTCCCTCCGCCCCTTACTATGTTAGCAAGTTCCTTGTTTTCTTTTTCCAAATTTACCATTAAGCGCTAGGGTGAGTTTAGCTCACTACTCTTTAATCAAAACTCAAATTATTTCCTGCCTACTCTCTCTCCTCTCTTTGATTATATATTAAAATTCCCAAAGGTGATTCTCCGGGCTTGTTTTTTAGTGTCCAACTGGTGACCGCTTCCCTTGCTCCACTAAGGTGTGTGTTGCGGGTTGTTGTTGTGTCTTGCTGGGGTTGGTAGCTGCTGCACCTTTTCTTGCTCATCTTTCTTTTGTCTTCTAACTAATTGCCTAAATAACCAGTGTCAAATTCTATGCCAATCTTATTGAAAAGTTTGTTCATTTTTTTCTGACACTTATCTTTAGTTCTATTTAGGATGTGTTTTTGAGTTTAACCTCGTTTTTCAAAGCTATTCTTGTGGTGTGGTGCTTTTTAGAGCTTGTTCAAAGCTATTCTTGTGATTTTCTGAATGCTTGATATAGTTGTAGCCCCTGTAGGTTTGTGTTTTTATTTATTTATTTATTTATTTTTTTTTACCTGAGATGTTATATACAGGGTCTCTGAACTATATTTGTGCAATGTCTGGTTGTATGCTGGTATTAGACATTATTTATGTGTTCATGTAACAAACTAGACTATTACTCACCATAAAACAAGACAAGCAATAAAAATGCAAACATTAAAGAAATAAGAAACTAAGGAAGAAGGGATGGATTTCATTCCAGCAAAAACGCCTACTACAAGGGTGACTTCAGGCCACCAGTCTCTAAGGCTGTGACTTGGTGGGCTGCTGTCACTTGGTGGGCTGTGATGTGCTACTGCTGCTGTTCATTCTTCCTTTATGAGATCAGTCTACGTGGCATTATGCTCTGTTATTAGACATTACTTTTTACTTATAGGGTCTCTGAACTATCCTTTATTCTATAATGAACTGCTACTGCTTTTACTCGATTTCTCACAACTAAAGCAAGAGCAAAATAAATCAGAAATAACAGTACAGTAAATGTGGGAAGTTGGGTTGCTTTTTGTAAAATAAATCAAAAATAACAGTAAAGAAAATAAGGGAAGTTGGGCTGCTTTTTGTAAAATAAATCAGAAAGAACAGTAAAGGATACACTTACCGCATAATACCTAACTAAGCCAATCCCAAATCCCCCTTTTTATATGAACACAGCTCATTACATTCAGCAAAAAAGGCCAGCTAGGCTAACACAAAAGGCCAAGGTCTGGCACAGATTATTTATGTATAGTATGCTATTTTGAGTTACAATTTTAAACTTTACATGTTAGTTATGTGTAGCGTACATATACTTGAAGACCTGAGTTCGATGCTGAGGCTAGGAAAGACTTTGACAAAAAAGCTGGGGACCGACTTAGGGGTACATTGAACCAAGTTTTCAAACTGCCTTTCCATCAGGAAGTTAATGTGGTTAATGTAGGAAGTTAATGTGCGAGCTGAATTCATAAATAAGCGTAAGCATCCAGATTTTTTGAAACGTTCTAAGCAAGCCAAACTTAATCCGTCTTAAATACCCTTTGTTGATCTATGATACATCTAAGTTTTAATATGAAGAATTGGATAGTGCCACAAAATTTACTAAATTGAGGGATCTTACATGGATCAATTGATGTCATGATGCGTGTGATATCTTCCCTCGGTAGACTATTTGTTACTAATAAACTAAAATATATAAACAAGTGCTTAATGGTATATTTGTTCTTTTAATATTGTCTTCTACTGCTGCAGCATCACATACTATGTATGAATGTGAATGTATTTTCATTTTATATTAATGCTAACTCGGATCTTATATATGAATGTGAACCACATGTTTTTACTTTATTTGTGTCATTCTTTGCATAACTATATCTTAGACAACAGTTATATATTTTATTCCACCCTTCCCTTGTGTCAACTTATATATTGTTTTATGTGATATAGAGTGGATAATGATAAGAGTTGGATGCATGTTCAAGGGTTGAAAGGTAGGCTTATCGAAATGGTGTTAAATACTTTCTTGATTTTGCTTTCATGGACACTAACCCTAGTGCTTGGGATAAAAAGAGGTGTCCTTGATTGAATTATCGAAATTACTTTGATCATGACCGAGCGACAATACGTGTTCATCTCCTTCGAGTGATTACAATCCATGAATATTCTATGTGAGGAACAATCCCTTGACATAGGAGAAATGGGGTGATGAGTTGTATGATGAAGATCCTCTTCTATCAGAAGAGATGGCTTCTTTGGTACATGATGCGACAAATGTAGTGCCGGAGGAGCATTTGAATGATGGGGATGAAGGGGATGGAGATTGTTCTAAGATTCTCGATAAATTTCATAGATTGATGAATGATGCAGAAGAGGAGCTATTTTTAGGTTGTAAAACATTTTGAAGGCTTGAATTCATTGTAACTCTCTTACACCTTAAGGTTAGTGGGGGTTTGAGTGAAAAATCATTTAGTGGGCTCCTTAGTGCATTACAAAAGGCCTTTAATTATGACCCAAACTTTCCAAAGAGCTCTTATGAAGCCAAGAAGTACACAAAAGACAAAGACCTTGGGTTGAATTATGCGAAGATTCATGCTTGTGTAAATCATTGCATACTTTATAGAAAAGAGTATGAAAGTGCTGATTCATGCCCTATTTGTGAGGAGTCAAGATGGAAGGAAGGTAGCGGTGAATTAGATGATAGTGTTACCTTCTCGGAATCTCAAGGGGCTTCACAAAGAATGCCTAAAGTACCTCGTATGGTTCTTCGCCATTTTCCTTTAGTGCCAAGACTAGGAGCACTGGACTAGAGAAAGGACTAGTTTCCGGCGGCCATCACTTCACCAATAAGCTTCTCTATCTCATCCATTTGAAATTAAGGATATCTATATGGCCTAATATTCACCAGGTTGCTACCCTCTTTGAGAACAATAGCATGCTCTCAGCCTCGGCTTGGTGGTAGTCCCTTAGGACACTTAAATACCTCCGAAAAATCATCAATTGCTGCCCTTAGAATCACCGGAGCTTCCTCACTCTCCTCCCTTACAACCTCATCTATTTGGTTTAACTCCACTAAAATACCACCTCTCTCTTTGCGCAATGTCTTGATCATTGCCTTTAAGGTAATGCCGGTTCGAGACAAGGAGGGATCAACCTTAATGTGGGCGGTTTGCCTTTTCACCGTGAAGCTCATTTCTTAATACTTCCAATTTGTGATTACGGCGCCGAGCTTCTCAAGCCATTGAACCCCAAGTATGTTGTCGGAGCTCCCCAATTGAAGAAGGAGGAAATCCTCCATCACAATCACTCCACCCTCTAACTCAATCCGCACCCGGCGCATTACCCGTGTCCCTTCAGCGCCTCCCCATTTCCCAATGAGACTCCAAAAATACCGCTCATGAAATGAAATTATGTGTTGCGCCTGGATTGATCATCACCACCACCTCTTCACCATCAATCATCCCCTTGATTTCATAGTCTTAGGATTAGTGATGCCGACCAACGAGTTAATTGAAATCTCAACCAGAACCTTCTCCTCCTCAACCAATGGTCTATCCAAGGCCGTGAACTCTTCTTCCTCCACTTTGTCCCCATCCTCTTGTACAAGCAAAACACTAAGTTCTTTCGCCCGACACACATGATTAAACCCCCATCTACCATCACACTTGAAACACAACCCTTTTGCTCTCTTATCTTGTATCTCCCTCTTTATCAACCTTCTTGCTTCCCATTAAAACGTAAAGAGTAAGGAGTGGACTTACTGTGAGGTTCAAATGGACCAGCTGTGAGCTTTGAGTGGCCTTGTTGGCTTGGTCATGGGAATTAAAATAAACAAATTGGGCCGGCCCACCTCCCTAAGAAGAGTGCTTGCTGAAC